TACTCCTTGTAATTTCTTCATTGACTTATGAATTAGTCGAAAGTACATTGCCAGGCCAGGTCCATGGCACAGTGGTAACGTGCTAGTCAAGAGAAGCTGATCCCAGTGGCAGCCGTGGTTCAGCTGCTTGGCCCAGTCAGCCTGAAACATGCTGGGCTCATACACAAATACCCAAGATCCAATGAACTGGAGGGCTAGAGGAAGAGGACCCTAGTGTGACCAGACCCTATAGAAGGTGCTTTCCTCTCTCTCATGTGTGCTTGTACCCTATCATGAATTTTTAAAATGAAAAAGAAAGAAGTGTATTGCCAGATATTTTGCTTAAGTGCATAGTGCCTTTTCTGTTGTGGTTCATGATTTGGCACATGCATGTACATGAGAGAGAGAGAGAGAAAGAAGCATCCTCCACAGGGCTTGGTCACACTGCAGTCCCCTTCCTCAAGACCTCCAGTCTTGCAGTGCACACATCTGCCACATTGTAAGCCAGTTGGGCCAGGGATTCAAACCATGGTCCACATGCGGCTTCAGTACACAGTCCAGTATGCATCAACTGTGCCACAGAGGCTGAGCCAGCATACTGCTTTTGATATGAGATTAATTCCAAGTTCATCAGAGTACATACTATTTATGATTTCAGTTCTTTCACAGTTGTTGAAATTTGTTTTATGAACTATGGTATCTTGGTAAATGTACCATGTGCACTTAAAAAGAATGTTTAGTCTGCGATTGTTGGGTGTAGTGGTCTACAAATACCAATTAAATCAAGACGCTTAATATTGTTGAAATCCTCTATGTCATTAGTAATTTTTTTCAATATAGTTCTATCAAAAGTTGGGGGGAGGGGTTTAAAATCTTCTACCATGATTTTGAAATTGTCTAGTTATCCCTAATTCTATTTTTGCTTTCTGTATTTCAAGGCTTTGTTATTCGATGCATATCCATTTATAATCGACATGTTTTCAAGATAAATTCTCCCTTTTATAATTATGATATGTTCCTTCTCTATCTCTGGTAACACTCTCTGACTAAAAGTCTATTTTTATAGACTGTGTGGATGGTATATACATCTTTGTTCCATCTACTTTCAACTAACTTGAGTCTTTATATGTAAAGTGTGAAAACAACATACAACTGACTATTGCTTTTTTAAAATCTTTTCCAGTGATCTCTTAAGTGTTTTGCCACTAAAATTTAATGTAATAAATGATGTGGTAGATTTAGAGTTATCTTTTCATTACTTGTTTTTTATTCTTCTACTTTTTGTCCTTATGTTCCTTTAATTTGCCTTTTTTCAGATTATTTAAATATTTTTTAGCATTTCATTGTAATTTATTGCTTTTCTTTAGTTATACTTCTTTATGTTTTTATTTATTAGTCTCTTTAAAGATTAAAATATAATTATTAATCTTGCACAAACTACTTATTAATACTGTATCACTGCATGTGAAGTCTAGGCCCCTTATGTTACAGCTGTCATCTCTGTTACATCTATGTGTCTTTAAGATCATCATGAGACGATGTTACAGTTTTTCTCTTAGGAGATACATGAATTTTTCAAAATTAAGAATAAAGGAGAGTCAGCAGGTGGCATGTTTGTTAAGACGTCGGATTCCCACATGGCTGACCATGGTTTGTGGCTTAAAAATCATGCCAGGCACATGAGCATACATGCTCAAAATCCCAGGAGGAGAGTGAAGAAGGGATTGTGGTGTGGCCATCCACCCTGGGGGACAGGGGTGATTTCTTACTTTCTCTCTCACTACGTCTCCCTATCTCAGGCAAGTACATGCATTCTAGGACAAAAACCTAAAAAATAAAAAGGGAAAACCTTTAATATTTATCCAGGTAGTAACCATTTCTAGTCTTCATCATTCCTGAATATCCAGGTTTCTTTTGGTATCATTTTCCTTCAACCTGAAGAATTTCCATAAGCATTTCTTACATGAAGTCTCCTAGCGACAGATTATTTTATTTTTCCTTTACCTTAAATATCTTTATTTTACCTTCATTCCTGGAGGACATTTTCTATTCTGGGTTGACAATTTTGTTTTTGTTTTTAATTTTCCAGCATCGATGGTTTACAAAGAGAAGTGTGTGGTTATTGAAATCAACACCTCTTTACACCGTGTATTTTTCCCCCACCTATTTTCAAGATTTTTCTCTTCATCTTTGATTTTTAGCCACTGGACTAAATTTAAGTGTGTCTTCTGTGAATGTGTCTGATTTGGGACTTGCTGAACTTTCTGCGTCTGTAAATTTTGACCATTATTTCTCCCTCCACTCTTCTTGGTCTCTACATAATGTTAGTCTTTCTGATATTGTCACACAGGTTCCTAAGGCTCTGTTCATTTTTTTTTTCATACTCTTTTTCCCTCTTTAGTTGGATCTTTGAGTGTACTAATTCATTTCAATATTTATTCTTCTACTAAACCCACTCAATTAGTTTTCCTTTCTTTAAATTTTTTCTTAGTTTGCTATGCACATGCCAGTGAGACAAAGAGAAAGAAAGAGAGAGAAACCACCCCCCAGGGGACTGGGCATGCTGCAATCCTTTCTCCTCCATTCTCATTTTAGGATTTCGGGCACATATGCACATATTCCCACTGTGCTTTCAAGTCACCAGGTCCGGGACTTGAACCACTCAATCAGCCATTTGGGATCCAGCAGCCTTAACCACCATACCACTGACTGGTCCACAATAAATATTTTTATTTCAACGATTTTACTAAGTTCTAATATTTCCATTGCAGTCTTTTTATTTATTTTCTTTGATTTTATTTTTTTTTTATTCCTAAAGGTTTTCTTTCTTTTTACTTATTTCAAATATGCTTTCTTTTACTTTATTGATTATACTTCAAATAAGTACTTACAAGTTCTTATCTGGCAATATGAACACCTGACTTATCTCAAGATTGGAAACTATTGTCTTCTCCATTTCTAGTCCTTTGAGAGTAGAATAATGTTAGATCACATGCTGGACATTTTGACTCTTACATAGATTCTAAGTGATGTTACAATTTTCTGAAATGCACGTGTTTTTATTTTAGCAGCTGATTAATCCAGGTAGATTTAGACTTTAAGCTCTCACTTGTCTGTGTGTACAGAGGTTAATAGCTCAAGTTTAATCTTAAACCTTTGCTATGCTGCTGTCAGCCGGTTCCATGCAAACATCATGAAGGGATCAATTTGAAACGTGTGTAAGTTCAGACACAGAATTAAAGGACTTCCTCTTTCTCAAGCTCTCCTCCCTGCTTGATTTCTGCTTCACTCTCTAATGGTCAGCTATGGTTGTCCGTTCACTTTTCCCTTATTCCTCTGGCCAGAAAGATGAGCAATTTTGTTTTTTGTTTTAAACCAAAGTTTTAGCTGCTTGTGACCACCTCAGAACTACAGGTCATCCTCAGCCCTAAGCGGGAAACTTGCCCCCATGTAAGTCACTTCTCTAAGCTTGAGCTCCCCCGTACAATTTGACTGATTTTGTTGAGTATTCAGAATTCTCAAATAGTTTTTTTCCTTTTCATATTTTGTCCAGATTTACAGTTTTTAATTAGCAGGAGGGTTGACCTAAGGGATGCTTAAACCATGAACCTCTCATCCTTTCTTCTTTTTTTTTTTTAGCATTCATTTGACTTATTTCTAAGAAAATTTTTGTTATTGTTATTTTAAATTGACAAATACTGATTGTATCATATTGTTTCCATTTATCCACAAGCTAAAACACTTTGGTCTTCTTTGTGGACCAGGTCTAACAGTTTTATGAGGCTTATTTAATGAAGCATAGTCTATCAGACAAAATTAATTAAAAGAAATTTTAACAACATTGGTTTCTCCCAAAGAAGGCTGATGAGGATCTAATTCAAAACTGATAGTTAAATTTTTTTTGAATTGTGCTTTTCCATTACTCTTTCAGTTTATCTTAAGGCAGATCTGCTCTGAACCCTCATTCTGAAATACAAAATAAACTTGAAAATCAACTTATGTGGTTTGTTCACTCTTCTCTTCCCCCCATTATTTTGATTTTCTCTTCATAAAAGCATATTTTGCTCTTTCTAATCTTCCTCTCTGCAAATTTCTGTTCTGAGCAACTTAAACACAAGAAACAAAATGGTAAATTTGGATTTTTTCTGAGAAAACAGAATATATTTGAGATGAAGGCTGAGTGTCCATGGACAGAAAATATCTGGGGGAGAAAGGGAAGGGAAGGAGAAAATGCAGATACTACAACCATAATTCTATATTATTTCATGTTTACTATTAATATGTTTTTGACATATGACATATTTATGCTATGAATACATATATTTGTTATATATATTATATATGTATTTGTTACATATATATTTATTTGTGCTATCGAGTATGCTTTGAACAATTTTATGATGTTTTAATTTTTATAAGCAAAGCATAACTCCAATAGTCCTTCTCTGAATTACCTAAAGGTTTCCAGGTTCTTACAGTACTACTTTGTATTGATGATGTTGCGTATACCAGACGGTCCATTAAGCAACATGTGTACAATTTTTATTAAATTTTATAGCAACACCTCAAACTAGATATTGTGCCCATTGACAGATAAGGAAGAAAACTGACCCAGAGAGGTTAAGCAACCTGTCTAGGATTACATACCTATTAGGAAGGTAGAGATGGGATTTGAACCTCGAACATATGGCTTCCCTTTGTCTCTCCTTTTGAAATTACGGGCTGACAATTAGGCAGGACTTAATGATAGTCATCCCGCCGTGTAGTAGGGAGAGAGGGAGTGTGGTGCTGTGGAAGAACATTCACTTCAAAGAGGAGACTGGTGCGTCACTCCTCAGCTTCTCTCGGCCTTCTTTCTCCACATCTGTCAATACCATAGAAATGAAAATGGACTTCCTAGACATTTTCAGAACTGTTCCAGAAATAAAATGAGAAGAGCTAAGACAGTATGATGAAAATATAAGAGACTGTGATCATGTTTAGCCCAACTCACAATTTCCCACTTCTTCTAAGTTTTACAGTTACGACTTCAACAGAGAAGGACTCAGGAACAACTGGCTAACCAGGGCATAATACCACGTGAGTACCTATCTCTTCTCTTTCCTGATTGACTGCCATGCAGGAACTACCAAGTGCCTCAGAGGTCTTTAGTCTAGGCCAATGTAGTAATCTCCCAAGAGCCCCATAGAATCGATGTCAGCAGAAATCCTAGAGTTTGGGGTGCTTTGCCCCTACTGCTACTCACTAATCAGGGGTTTCTTTAAAAATATAAGCTGTGCCTCAAATTCCAATGTAGGGGCTGTTCTTAAGCAAACTTAATTCACAATGGGCACCCTCCCCCCTTCTCCTCCTTTACAATTGGATATAATCACCTTTCTTTCAAAAGCATCAATCACCAATCTTCTCACCTTCTTGCTTTCAGTTCTGTTTAGGGTACATGAGTTCCCAGTTCATTGAATGTTGCCCTGTGCTTCCTTTCTGGAAGACTGAGTAACACCACCATTCTAGCGTAACGGTATAATATCGAATTATGTAATCCGGGGTTGTGGGGAGAAGGAGTAACCTATCTTTCAGAAGATACACTTGGGAAATTTCTTACTGATTTGGCAATTAGAGCTAACTCCTGACTCCCTACAGACATAGGGAAAAGGGTTCCTTAGGTGACTAAAGTCACAGTTGAAGCTGCTCTAGGTCATACCTTCTAATTCCTCCCCACCAGAATTTAAAAATCCTTCATGACTGGCAGAACTCTGGGTCCCTGTATAATAATGTCATGACAGTGACTTCAGGGTGTAGTATCCTCCTAACAAATTGTCTTGTGGTTAGTAATACTGGCGTTTTATGACCCATGGTCTAAAAATGTGAAGTACAGTATGTGCTTCAGAGCCAGAAAAGAACTAAGAATTTTTCAGGCCTTTTTTGTTGTAATTTAAAGTATCTCTGTTGGCTAAACCTGACCGACAGTAAATACCAGGTAACCTCATAATGGAGCAACTTTTTTAAAGGTTGGCTGAGCACAAAAGAAACAGCTCACCCTGCAGTCTCAAGGCCATTTAACGAATATTCACAAGTATAAGGAGGAACCAAAGAAAGGACTTTACTTAGGGCCTGTTTCATCTTAGCCCTCTCAGGAAGGTGCTAAAGACCGAAACAAAAGCTCTGCAGACATCAGGGCAGGTCAACACAGTTCCACGAGAAGCTCCTCACTGATGTTTCTATGTCCTTAATTCTGGAAAGGCAAGTGGAATAGACCCAGGACCTTTCAGTCAACCCAAATTGCCTACAACTGATTTAAAATTTGACTTGTGTATTTAAACACTCTGGTCAGCTGGCATTTGGATAAGAACAAACGTTTTTTTGAGGTTTACGGGGTTAAAAATCTCTGAGAATCAGTAAAAACACCCAATCGAGATGGGAATTAATTCTGATATATTTTTAAATAACACCTTTCATGTAAGTTGTGTAAATCAAAAGTCCATTTGTGTAGTAGGATACCATGGAGATATGACAGTTGGTTCTCCCAATTTTCCAGTTTCAAAGAGTGCAGATATTTAAAATAACGCTGCTTCACAGAAATTTGCATCCGTAGTCCATTCTATCGTTAAGACAATTTGGGGGGAGGTGGTGGAGAAATGTCTTTAGAATAATTAAATTTATTTATTTGCAATTCAGCAAAATGATAAAGGTTTTTCTTTTATCTTCAGCCATTTCCTCGCAACCAGGTTTTCCAAGGACATAAATTCAGTTGTGGAGACGGGTGCACATCATGCCAGGTGCATGCTGCAGCCATGCTTGGGAAGGCCTTTTCTATGTAGCTCTTTGCAAAAGTTAGACCCAGGACGGATCTCCCCACCTGCCTCTTCAACTCACCAGATTAGACATGCAATCCACATGCAGTGCAGAGCTTGGTGTTTACTCAGACACCTAAGGGTACGAGTGTAAACACAAACATTGAGAGAAAGAAAGAGGAGCTGGGAGTCTTGGGGTCTTTTCAGTTCAATCTAATTCAACAAAATTCATCATAAACTAGACTATGTACCCGGTCCTGTGCCAGGCATCACAGGCGTGGCAACAATGAGCAAGATGGTGTTCAGAAGAGAGTCCAGATACTAGGGGCAAAGGGGATAAGAAGCACATATAAGGACAATCCAGTGTGGACCCCACTCACTTCCACACAGGAACTTTCTCATTTCTTTACTGTGTTCTTCGAATTTTTTTGAAACGGGAGAAAAGGAATGATAATAGAAGGGACAATAGCTCTCAAAGGTCATTTAATTGAGTGATTTTCTATTATTTAATAATTTATATTATTTCATTGTTAGAGATAGGAGGGTGGGTCTTCAGAAAGTTCATTATGGGGAACCAGTAGGTGGTTAAGCAGCTTGACTCCCACGTGGCCAACTGCAGTTCAAACCCTGGATGGACCCAGTGGCTTAAAAATCACACTGGGCACATGTGCATCCATGCCCCACATCCCAGAGGAGAAAAGAGAGGGGATTGTGGAGTGGCCATCCCTGCTGAGGGGTGATTTCTCACTTTCCCTTTTTCTGTCTCTCTTTTTCAGTCTCTCTCCTCCAAGCATATATACCTTAGAGCAAAAATATTTTTTTAAAAAAAAGTTCAGTATGAAAAAAATATGCATAGATTTTTAGAGTTTTTTGGGCACTAAAATAAACTTGTACTTTAATTTCACTATTCCACAAACTTTTTGAAGACCCACTGTGTGTGTGTGTGTGTGTGTGTGTGTGTGTGTGTGTGTTTTACACATACGTGCATATATATATACATATATATGTGTATGTGTATGTGTGTACAAGTATCATCTTCTTGACTTTTAGTCAAGAAAAGAGTTCTGAAGACTTCTTAAAAAAATTCTTAGACAGTAGAAAAATGATTCTTGGGGCAAAAAGTGTGGGCTTAAGTCAAATCCTAAGATTACTTTCACATTTTATTATCAGCTGTGAATTTCACATTGTTAAGATGGCTTGAAATTTTAGCTAAGTGTCTTCTTGGAGTTAATGTAAAAATATTACTGTAAGGACTTGTGTGTGTGCGTGTGTGTGTGTGTGTGTGAGAGAGAGAGAGAGAGAGACCTCTGTCCCATTTCCTGGGTCTCTCCTGGTTTACAGAAGCCCTCTGGAAATACTGGTTCTGTTTAGAATAGAGATTAGAAACCCCTGACCTGGTCCCATCCCCATTTGTCTTTAATATTCATGAAACTGAGGATGGGGAAGCCAAAAAGTGTTTTCAGATGTCCCAAAGCCAGATCCTGTATTATTGCATTTTCTTCCATTACGATGTAATTATTCATGAATTCTCCCTTTCTCCGTATAATTCGAGATACTTACAAACCTTCCTCAAATTTTAGACCTTGTCATGAATTGCCTAAATTTTAAGCTGGCCAAATGAATTAATTGTCCTTGGGTTGTTATCAGATGGTCCATAGACCATCCTTTGGCTGAATTCATTTTGGGTTTTACATTAGGCTAAATATCCAGACTTATGTCTACTGCAAAAAAAGAAAAAAAAAAAAATATATATATATAGCCTTCTCCTATTGTGGCAATGGTCAGGCCAGAACCTATGTCTCCTGATCCCTGACCAGGACCCTTTTTCTCAAATGTTCAAAAGGAATCACTTGACCTTTAAAAGTATGTACTTAAGTTTCTATCGTAATGCATTTTGTGCCCAAAATATTCCACTAGAATCCAGGAAATTAAAAATAATTATTATGTGTGAAAATGCCAAGGATAAACCAATGGCTTTAGGGAAATGGCCACAGGTTCTTCTTCATAATCCATGCCTCACCATGACCAACACTGAGTGAAAAATTCCGCTGACTCAGCTACATGTGATGATTAAATTATAAGATTTTCCCCTATTGATGTTGCTGAGCTGAATCATGAGTAACTTTTATTTGACTATTAAAACAACTCCAAATGGATTCACTTTTCTTTTTTCCCTCTTTCTGAGCATGCATCTGCAAGATTTAGAATTATTGCTAAGTAACAAATAGCCCACAGCAACCAGCAACAAATTCTTTTTTATAGTCTTCTTTAATCACTTCTCTTAAGCATTTATTTTGTTCTTATTTGTACTTATTATGAGTTTATTATATTTCCCTCCAATCTTTTCAATGAATTTAAAAGTATCATCTTCTTGACTTTTAGTCAAGAAAAGAAGAGTTCTGAAGACTTCTTAAAAAATTCTTAGACAGTGGAAAAATGATTCTTGGGGCAAAATGTGTGGGCTCAAGTCATATCCTAAGATTACTTTCACATTTTATTATCAGCTGTGAATTTCACATTTTTAAGATGGCTTGAAATCTTAGCTAAGTGTCTTCTTGGAGTTAATGTAGAAATATTACTGTAAGGACTTATTGTTTGAACTTCTCTCCAAAATCCCACCTCTGAGTCTCAATATAAAGATTGCTAGTAATCTATTTCAGCACCATCAACTAGGATTTAAAGGAAATGGCTTAACTACTCTTCTTTTGGGGGTTCGAAGTGGCAAGAGTAATTTTTAAAATAAGTTTTAAGTTTATTATTTATTTTTTCCATGAGTAAAAAAGACAGAAATAAAGAATGAGACAGAGAAACATCACCCTCAACATAGTCTAGATGCCACAACCCACCCCGAGCCTTGACCAGCCCTGAATCTTGGGCACATGAGTACCAAACATGCTCAAGAAGGTCTCCACGCATTAACCCACAAAATTCCTATGTGGATTGGCCTCAAAGATCACTGTTACCAGCATGTGTAAGAAGGACCTGCAAGAGGACCCTTTCATGGCTTTAGGATAGAGTCAACCTCCTGCTCTCATACACCTATGGGGCTTGGATTTGTTTATTTCTCCTGTATATTTTCTCCCCAGCAAACCTTCTCCCTGGAGATCACTCTCCTGGATGAAATCTTAACACTGTTTTATTCCAACCACTTCAGAAGCCTAGCATAAAGGGACAATCAGCCCTATGAATTATACTCTCTAAAATGATTGGAGATCAATCCAGTAAATATTTCTTAACCACTTGCTCTGATGGAGGCTCTGGGAACCACACACCGAGAAGTCAGGCACAATT